CTAAGGTGTACGCCCACCGGCACGGAAACAGTCATGTATGGAGGGAATGGGGCTGGCGTCCGTCCCCCAAAATGGAGACATCTTGAAGCGGAAGCTGTAGCTGTGAATGGAAAGAATCGAATTCATTATCCCTGTCATACCCTCCTCCCCTTCCCTCCACCCCATCCCTTAAAAGCTTTCCTCGGTTATGCATGCCTACCCCCACACGTGTTTTATGTTGCCAAGCGAAGTCATTAATGTGATATACATGCATCCTGTAAAAGCTTTCGGCCAATGAGCCGTAACTGGCCGATTCCTCCTGATCTATCCGGAGATTGGTCGTACAGGGCGGTTCAGAAATGAGACGACAAAGCCTATAGTGCGCTTAACCCCCACCACTCCCGCTCAACACCACGCTGGTATATTATATTAGTGTACAGGTTGACCCATGCAAGTACCAAGACACCAAACAAAGCTACAGATATGTTACAAATATACGCTACGAAGCATGCTACGAACTGTATGAACTGACCAGACCTCGCAGCATATAAATGGCGCTGGTATTGAGATGTCAGCATGAGCGGCCACCGCAGACGACGGACCACCGGCAGCGGCGGTCACGTTCGGTGTCCAGCCCCGCCGCTATCACACAGATCACGTGTTGTATCCTATTCGACTGTCATTGGATCCCGCCATTATAGATTCAACGAGTCGGCGTAATGCAGTCGGATGGCCAAAAAGGGAAACGCCGCACTAGCCGGCGTTTGTATGTTTGCGTCCGTGTGGCTGCGCTGATCAACACAGCCGGACAAAGGCTCGTTCACTAACACGAAACAGTGTCGGCGGGGTTGTATTTCCTTCCGATAGCCCAGTGATACAACGCTGACAGCGAGAGGACACGCGTGCTCTGACCACCGTTCGTGCGAGGGTCCGTCCCCAGCTCTGCAGGCGACCGAGCTCTGCCTGCCACGGCGCGGCATTGACGATGCGGAATGTCGTCACCATCCTCGGTAAATCACTGGCACAGGTGGACCGACCTCCCGCAGCGGCCGGCGCAGTGTCCGCGAGCTCAGGCCATCTGGCCACCGACGTCAGCAGAACGGCGAGCAGCGCTGGCGGCTTACTACTGCCTTCGCCTTGAGACTGGTGAGCTGGGGGAAAAGGTGGTCACTGCACCAACACGCACGCTGCCGCCCGTGCATTCCGACCTGGATGAGCAGCGTTACTGGTAAAGAGGCTTACCCCTCCCCCTTACCTTGGACGATGCGCCAGGCGGCGCGGCCGATGCACTGCGGCGTGATCCGATCCGACAGGACACGCACCGCCTGAAGGTCCACTTACCTGAAACGCAAAGATATCATCAGGCACGGGCGCGCGCGGGCGAAAATGATAGACAATGCTCACGTGGGTGGTGTTCATGATAAGATGCGCGCTGGACATTAACGGCACAAAGCCGACGCCTGCATGGGATGTGACGTGGACAGGGCAAGGTACGTGGATGGTACTCCGATGAGGACAAAGTAAATTACGTGATGGTACTCCGTGTGGACAAAGTGAAGTAAGTGGATGGTACTCTCCCGATGTGGACAAAGTTCTCTGGTGGGGACAAGGTGAGGGAGGTTGAGATGGTAACGCGATTGCAGCAATGGTCAGCGCCCTAGTGCGGAGCGCATTGGCGTCCCGCGGTGGCAGGGCGGTTTGGCAGAGTCCGTCCGAAGCCCAGTAAGCTTTCAGAGAGGTACAAATAGCAGGGTGTCTGCGACCCAGATCGCATGGTTGGTAGACTAATAGGGAGAATGGCTGTCATGACTCTGGTACCCGCAGGTGAAACGTTACTGCCTATGCCGCCATGAGTCAAGTAGGTTAACAAATATGGCACGAGTGGGCTGCGGGGCATCTCTGGCTGTGATGCGTAGCGTGGCATGCCTACCAGCCGATTTCGTCGCACCTTGGTAAGTTGTCATGCTTCAGGAACTATTGTGCGAAGATCCTGCTCAAGATGATCGGCACACACCTGCCGAAAACGCAAGCAGTGGCCTGCCCTCTAATTAAAAAGATGCGCCACACCACCATAAGGAAAAGGTTGGGCACTTTTGCGCCGTTTCCTGCATAGCGTTGGCAATTTGGCGGGCATATTCAGAAACGCGAGTTCCAGGTGTGCAGAAAAATACATGTTTACCGGTTATTAGCACCATATCTCGCATGCATCAGGTGTTTCTGAGGACTATGTCCCAACTAGTGCCGGCAGGTGAGTTCAGGCGGGTGGCACGCCAACACCCTGACCAATCGACGGTGAGTTCAGGCGGTGGCACGCCAACACCCTGACCACCGACGGTGAGTTCAGGCGGTGGCACGCCAACACCTGACCATCGACGGTGAGTTCAGGCGGTTGGCACGCCAACCACCCTGACCATCGACTGGTGAGTTCAGCGGGTGGCACGCCAACACCCCTGACCACCGACCGGGGCGCTTCGTGAGCAGGAGACAGGAGAGTTCGGCGCTCACACCCTCCGTCGCTCAGCATCTTAACAGGTGAAGTCGAAACACCGCGTCAGTACATGACTCGATACGTATACATAACGATCATTACCACCATTTACATGAGCAATTGTCGTGCAGACTCCCAAACGTGTCGTTTCTGTTGTTTTTCTCTTTGAAACGCGCGCCCGTCCGGTGGCTGATATCCGGGACAATAGCCAAGGACCTTCCAGCGCTGATGTGTTTACCAGTGAGGTTCACGCCAAAGGAACAAGAAGATGATTTAAGCAACGAACGAACTCTGGACCATACAGATTCCTCTATCCATACGGGGCCGCCAAAGAAAGTTGCAAAGCCTTGTCAGTGGTGGTCTGCTGACTGGCCGTGACCATTCAGGTATAGACGGCGGTCAGACACACGGCTGCTGGCCGTTCGGCGGGCCGTGAAGCACAAACACTTCCATGCCAGTGCATTGTAAGGACAGCACTGCGTCTAGTCACTCATAGTGTAACACCTATTCAGTAACCCTGCCACTCATTCAGAAAAATAAACTCATTCAGTTACCACGCGTAGGTACTACAACCGGCCTGTCGCAAACTGTGCCCCATCTTCGCGTCAAGCAACTAATAGGTAGCCATTTTTGTTCAGCAACTGGCATGACTGACCAGCCACCGCCGTCCTCCCATCAGCGCCCCCAGAGCGGAACTGGGGTATTCTGAGCGTGCGGGTCAAGTCTGGCCGCAGACCTACTGCATGGGGACGTACGCATTACACCGGTGCGAGACGGCCAGATCGCCATCACTTCTGGGGGGACAGCCCGCCACCCGCCGAACGCCGAATGACACAGAACAGCCGGCTGGGAGTGCAGTCGCTCTGGGCCTCGCCATCACTTCTGGGGAGACAGCCCACCACCCACCGAATGCCGAATGGCACACACCCCGCTGGGAGTGCAGTCGCTCTGGGCCTCGCCAGATCGCCATCACTTCTGGGGAGACAGCCCGCCACCCGCCGAACGCCGGATGGCACAGAACAGCCGGCTGGGAGTGCAGTCGCTCTGGGCCTCGCCATCACTGCTGAGGGGACAGCCCGCCACCCGCCGAACGCCGAATGGCACAGAACACCCCGCTGGGAGTGCAGTCGCTCTGGGCCTCGCTGCCGGGTCTCCGCGATATCCTCCTGGCGCTGGGGGCCACCGGGCCGCGCCGGGGGCAGGTCGCGCGCCGCTCGCCGCGCTGTTAGAGCGGTCCCGCGCGCGTCAACCGGCTTATCACCCTGCGAGCATCCTAGCTGATCGTCCTGCGCCGGCGAGGCGAGCCTCTTGGCCAGAGGTGCTCAAACGGACGCTTGGCATGAGGTCCCATTCCGATAGCTGAGCACAAACACGGCTATCACTTGGCCTAGCCGCACGGGACGCGATAGCTAGTATCAGACACCTGCACACAAAGGTGATACACAGTATTAACAACTGCAAGACGCGCCTATCGCAAAAACGAGAACAAGACGTTATCGGCCCTCTGAAGTGG